AGGGAGGGGGACAGGGCAGGAGCCGGCCTGCAGAGCCTGATATAAATACACTCGTGATTGAATAAACTTTGGCTCCGTAACCAACGCTACAGCCAAAACCTGTGGGGAAGGTGGGGCTTGTGTAACAGCAGCGGCGCTGGCTGGAGCTGCAAGAGGGAAGGGAGGTTTCGAGCTGTGCCGATGCCATTTGCTCGCCCAACAGGAAAGCGGGACGCCGTGCTCCGGCTGCAGGAGTCGAAGCGCCGAGGAGGGGGATCGGGCTGTGCCAAGGCAGCTCTGACCCGCGGCCACACGCTGCGCCCAGCCGGGCTCCGGCCTTTGAACTACAGCAGCTTTGGTGGCTTTGGCCGAGGGACCCAGGACTTGCTCCACGCAGCTGCGAATTTAACCAGAAACACACTTTTCCTCGGCTTTCTTTAAGAAGATACTGTTGTGAAGTAAGGAAAAAAGCAGCTGAGCCAGAGCTGACTGTTTCCCACAAATGAGGAGCCTTTCATTTTCCTCCCCTCCGAGGCTGTTACGGCTGGGGCGGGACGACAGCGACAGCGGCTGCCTCCCCAGACCGTCGCTGGAGGCAAACCAGACCTGCTCCGAGCGCAGCACAGCTGAACAGAGCCAGAAGCCACCGTGGGTGAGGAGGACCCACACGAAGAGGCTGTTTCGTTTCCCTGACATGCTTCATCTTTTACAAAAATAAATTTAAAAAAAAAAAAAAAAATCCATGAAACAAATGCTCGTACAGTGAATAAGCCATTTTATTTTTGTCCTGTGCTCACACAATCTCTCTTCTTTCCCTGACAGGTCACAGATCATTAAAATAAAGTTTCTAAGAGGAAAATAATTTAAAACATACGCGCAGGGCTCCCTTCCAACCTCCCCGCACCCACACCTCCACCGCTTGTGCTTCGTCTCATGCGTAAGTAAAGCCGTTGAATCTCAGGAGTCCGGGATGGGAGAGCCTGCCGGGGTCTCGGCGAGTCCATCTCAGGCTGTTTAGGGCCGCAGCGAACGCACCGAACACCCCGCAATGCGCTCCGAGATCCAACTACCTTCCCCGTAGCCTGGAAAATGTGCCCGCGGCCAGACGTCTTCCCTCTCGGCAGCGCCGCGGGCTGCTCCAGGCCTCCCTCCTGCAGTACCAGGTTTCCTTCCCTTGAGTTACCACCCAGAGTCTTCCCTCTGCCGCACCGCCCTCACCCCGTATCACATGCACAGGACTGGCTAGGAAAAGCCATTTTTAAGCTTTTTCAGTTGCTGGTAAAGTCAGTACACTCCCAGCTGTGCTATATTGTAAATACAGCTTCTAGGATCGTCTCCGTGGCGGAGACCGACAGTGATCAAGGCACTACCCCCACCCCCCTCCTGAAAACAAAGGAAGTCAGACCAACACCTAGGGACAGAAGAGAATCCTATAATGTGATCACACGGTTACACGGAATCTTTATGGCAAAGAGAACATTTAGCAGCTTTGAACGTTTGGGCTTCTCCCTTTTACTCAACACAAGCACTCTAGACCCTATAGGGAAAAACAGGGCTGAAGCCCTAAAAATCAAAGCGCGGTTAAGAAACAGGAATCCTAACAGCTGTCTAATTTCTATAAGTGACAAGCCCACGGCCTGGGGTGGGAACCCTCCGCTCCCCTTGTGCTGTACGCTGACCCGGGACGGGGGCCGCCGGGGGCCCAACGACCCTCCCCGCCTTCCTCCCCAAGCAGTTCCCCGGCCAGTCAGTGGGAGAAGACAGCGTTTGCATGCAGGCTGCTGCGTGTGCCGTCTCAGCGTCCCGGCACGGCGCTGGCTCGGCGGCAGTGACATGCTCCGAGTGTGTGTGTGGGGGGGGAAAACACGTATCACACTGGTTCTGTTAACCTGCTCCAGTCCCACACAA